TTTCAAAAATAAATCTTCCATTAGAGCAAGAAAGCCACTCTTAATATCTACCAGCGGGAAAATGTAGAACAATATCAAACCCCAGCTGAGGGAACGATGGCTCATCTTTATGTATCAATCAACGTGTAAGAAACTAATTAAGTAAGCCACAGAAAATAACTTCACAATATAAATATTCAAGGCTCGGAAAACTAACAAAAACAAGTGATAAAATGGATGTCTCCAATTATGGCGCACAAATAACATGATGCAGATGTTTTATCTAACTGATTCAATGTCAGTTAATTTGTGAGCAGAATTTAGCCGTTTCAAAAAAGATAAATCTTCCATTAGAGCAAGCAAGCCACTCTTAATATCTACCAGCAGGACAATTATTGGCAAGGGGGACCCCCCCGGGAACGAAAAGAAGTAAAGAACTAAATATGGTTGGTATTAGAAACATGAAGAGCCATGTGTTTTTCTATCTTTGCGATCAGATTATCTTACATTGTGTTAAGGATATACTTGAGGCGAACAACAGTCAATTGATAACAAGTTAGGGTTAATGTTGGGTTAGGGGAGGGGTAGGTGGGCAGTTGCCCAGATACTGATATTGATCCGCCTTATCCATGATAAAAAAAAGCTGCAGGATGAAAAACTTGGAAGTAGACTCTCCCACTATATGTCTTAAGGAAGCCAATTTTCATATCGTAATTGGAAAGAGCGATCATTTCGAGTTCTGCGACAGTCACCTCGTACAAAACGTTGAGCGTTTGCAGATCATTCTTCAACGGTTGTTTCTTGACAAGTGGAAGGGATTTTCTGTTGAACATTTCGTTTTGCAAGTAGAATGCAATAAATGGGAAACCAAATATCAGAAAAAATACGGTGTAAGGACACGAACAAGCGCCACCAAAACTCCAGACAGCAACAATAATTGAAAACCACAAAGGTACACCGCGGTGAATAGATAGGTCTGCTTAGGCATGAAGCGCCTGCTCTCTGTGGTGAAGATATTCGTGAAACGATGCATAGAGGCGTGAGAAATATTCACTTTACGGCCAACACTGTCTATTCTGGTTTGCCTGTAGCGAAGAAGTTCAGCCGCAAATGACACAGACATTGTCGCACCGATAAGAAACGTTCCCGAGCCAAGAAAAATGCGTCGTGTAACGATTCCATCCGCAAACAGGAACCGATTTAGTTTTCTTCTGTCTCGGCAGCGATGACAATTGATTGTTACTCGTCTAGCGAGCTATGCCTTAAGCGTCTTACTGCCCACAAAACTGAAGAATGTGAACAAATGATGACAAAATTTTAAGAAGACTTTGGAAGAATCACAATTTATCGTGAAGTAAAACAATGATTAGTTATCTCGGTCTTTCTGGGAAAATTGTAACTCGAGCCAACCAATCTCAGGGATTATTCAAACTATCATGGGAACCTGTGGGCTTACAGTTTCTCTGTTGGAATCGGATTCCAAAAAACGCATGGTATGATAACAGTGGAAAGGAATATGAATATCAGTTATTTGACATTTTTTCAGAGAGAAAGGTTACAATTAAAAACTTAGCATGGCGGCCGACTCGAAGATAACTAACCTAGTAAGCTCTCCATTCCCCTCAACACATACTCAGACTAAGGCAGCTCCCTATCTCCCCATCTTACCCCCTCCCCTCCCCCGCCACTCACTCGAACACTTAAAGGCTCATAATTTCGTAAGCTTTAAACCCTCTCTTTCCAGATATATATCCGTGCAAACCAGCCCTGCTTATTATTGCTTATTATCATATAATTTGTTGTAAGTCTAATGGGTCAGCACTTGGGTGGGTTGTCACGCAATTTTCATTTTGGTTGATTTTAAGAAATAAAATTTAACCAATCCACTAAATTCTCTTTATCAAGAACTGAAATATATCTAATTGTTTTCGGATGTTACTGACAAATTCGCGCGCATCGAGTGCAAAAATAATTTATTCCAACTGTGCGTTCGGTCAAAACAACTGCGTACGATCAAAACAATGATATGCAATGATATCTTCACATCTTCAAGGCACAAAAAAGTTCCAAGTCCGGCTAAACAATTCAAGGAATTGTTCAGTCTGTGTCCGAATCACTTTCGATGAAATGTAATCGTCGTTTCCGAGGTTTAACCATGTTTGTTTTTAATTTCGCAAAGTATTAAGCTGGGTCGGCTCGTAATTTTCGATTTCCTTGGCAATTCCCTTCTCTAAACACCACTTTTTCCAAACCGACAACCGAAAAGTAGTGCTTTTTACAGTATTTTCGTTGTTTGAGCTGTTTTTAAGCTGCGGTGGCGAAAGAAAACCTACTTAAAACGCCGGCCATTGTTTCGCTCGCAAGTTTTCAAATTTTCAAATTTTCAAATTTTGTCGCGACATCCAAGGCTCGCATTTGATTGGCTATCTGTGAGTTTCTTTGATTATTGACCAATCAGAATGTCTGATTTGTTACTTTCTTTGCACTGAATTAACTCTCTTCTCCACTGAATTACCTGAAAACTGCATTTATCTTAACCAATCAGAACTGAGTTATTTTTCAAAGTATATTATTAGATACAAAACAACACTAGCCCTCCATTAAAAAAGCAAATTTAAAGCTTAATTACGCGGGTAGTAAGACTGTTAACCTTACAGAGTAAATCTAGAACTATACATCAATGATAGGACCTATAAATAAGCAGATAATATATATATACATATATGTTATTCGCCGGCTAAGGGTCGGTCCGTATGGTGAAAAACTGTGACCTCGGTCTTGAAAATACTGCCCGAGGCCGTAGGCCGAGGGCAGCATTTTCAAGACCGAGGTCACAGTTTTTCACCATACGGACCGACCCTTAGCCGGTGAATAACATATTTATTTTTTTTAAACTTGACGAAATTCTTTCCGAGAGAACCTGAATTATTTAGGGCTATAAATACAGCAAGATCTTCCACAAACTGAACAATTTTTGAGCGAGTAAATGATAGTTAAAAATAGAGGTGATGCAAATTAAAGAGAGATGCCATCTCTCTTTAATTTGCATCACGGCCTCACCGAAACATTTTCATTTGCGTAAGGATAAAGGTGATTTAAAAGGCTTCCAAACAAACTTTGAAACATTATTTTTACAATCTGTCATAATCTGACACCTGTCAATTAGAGAGCGCGTAAGAAAAGAAAAAGCGCAAGAACAATTGAAAAACAACGGAATTAGTTTGGCAAGGACTGTCGTGACAATGTTTTCTTCAAAAACATTCAATGATCTAACGAAAAGTATTATTCACTCTCATCGACGATTCATTCATGTACGAAGATTTACCTCTGTTCACTAAGTGAACGGCGAGGAAAGTAATTGTGAGTAAATTCAAATTTTTTAATTTGAAGTTGTGAGAGTTTACTCGATTGTTTGCCGCAATGGCGTGTGTAAATCTGGTCTTTCGTCCACAAAAACTAAATTCGAATGGCACACTCCAACGAGACACAAGGGGATTTAAGGCAGCCTTTTCTTAATAAATTCCTTCAGTTTCTGTTGTTCAATTTACGGTACAAATGTTCAAATTGAACGGACTTAGAAAGACTCACCGGGAGCGTATATTTGTTGTAGAACTGAAATTAAAACTTCTCTCGCTCTTTCACTACGAACAAATAGTTTGAGAAGATTCAGATATTAAATAAATGAAAGTTCCATCGTTCAGTTAACTCTAACCAAGTACCTCACGTTTTAACTTTCTAGGTATTTTTTGTGAACGATTAAAATTAATTGCAGACGGTTTATAGGCCGCTTGTCAACCACCGTAAGGACGCTATTGCTTACACAAATTCATTCTGAAACCAATATTTTTCTGTCAACCAAAGTGATTTGAGAGAGAGAAAAGAGAGGATTCATTAGTTATTTATCGGCTTGAGGTAGTGGCCGATGTGTTTGCTTAAAAATACCACCCAGCCGGAAAAACAAGATATATTTATGAGAAATGGTAACAAAAGTTGGGATGTACTCGGCGACTCACGAAAGCATTACCGTGGCCCGTGGGCAGAGATAGGAAAATACTGACCGGGTAAAGAACCAATCAGATTGCAGGATTTATTACCGTGCCCTCTAAAAAAAAAATTAATTAAATTATTGATGTTAACGGCTGTGGAAAGTGTGGTTAAATAAAGCTACTTGATGCGTTCATTTGTTTTGAAAATTGATAAGGGTAGGTAAGCCAACGAATTCGTCCTCTTCCATTAAAACTCGAAAAAGTTGATTTGCAATATTTTTCATAAATACATACAGTACTTTGATACTTTTCGTAGTTCTTGAGGGATGTTGTGTCATATTTTGGTCCCTAGTCCTGAAAACCACTTAATTTGTTAGTTAGATCTTGAATGTTTTACATAATAATTGCCGGCTGAAGAAAATCTTGTATGATAATTTTATATCTCATTTCTAAAGATTAGAAATATTGCATTGGGTTAACATACTAAAAATTCCATACATTAGAACTGAAACAGGAGCTGAAATGTATTTAAAATAAAACATATTTACTGGAACAGTATTGGACGAGACAAAAAGAGGAATGGACCTTTAAGGTGCGAAGTATTTTAAACGAAGGGCAGGCTTTCATAAAACCACAGAACTTAATTGGGGATAGGTCATTTTCTATTGCTGGAGGGGGGGGGGGAGGGGAGGCGTGGGAAGATTTTGGTTGTGTCACGGTAAAATTTACCTGATCCCACCAAAAAGAAATCCTATCATCCACCTCATTGGTCCTCACTTGGTTGTAAATTTTCTAGAGTCCCCCTCTTTATACTCTGTTGGTAACGAATGACCCCCCCCCCCTGAGAATGTTCAGCCCCCCCTCCCCCTTCGATGATAGATTATGACTGCTTCCTTAAGATAAGTCTTTGCGGCTTGGTCCCATAAATTAATGCCGTAAGATAAATAATGGGATATCAAGGATCGATAAATTGTCAGATGAATTTTGGAACACCTACGTAATTTTTGTCTCACTTGTTTGCTAATATTGCTAGAAAGTTTATCTTGAAAAAATGTGTTAGTGTAACTATCTTATTACATTTAATCAACGGGTCAAATCTTTCCTACGTGAGTTCCACATTAAAAACTAGCAAAATGACACCAGCTTTGTCAGATAGTCCATTAGTTTCATGCCCAGTCTTATTAATTGTCAAATACCAACTGATAAATCACCATTGGATCTACAAAACTGTGTTGTTTAGTCAGCGTACTATTTGCCTCCGATCCAGAACTGAGTCGTATCATCCGAGTTTGAAGTGCAACGGAATTTGGGATTTGTAGAATAGTACTTTCCAAAGTTGTCCTCCCAATCTATGGCCGTCTTGCTTGCGTCGAGATTGCAGGACAAATGGGTTATAAAAGTGTCGACATGCAGAGGTTGGCTGCCTTTTTTATACGCTGTGAATGCAGTGCAATTCACACACTCATTTCCCCGGATGTTGACATATTCGTAAGGTCGACAGATGTCTACCACCGTGGGTACGTCTTTAATGATGTCAAAGTCTTCAAGCGAGGCTCTCAGGTAGTCTGTGTATACGGTGCCATCTGTGTTGTATCGGCAAGTAGCTCTCCAGTGAGTCGAGTGATCTCTGAGCCAAAGGAGGTAGGGTCGTTTGATGAGGTAGGCCTGCCAATTTGGGGCATCACCGCTGATGGCTTGGTAGTCATCGTAAAACACGATGTTCTCCTGTAGGGGAAGTAGAATTGATGAGGAAGTTAGATTGTTGTCAAAACTGTCGCTTATGAAACAAAACTCATCGAAGCAACAAAAGATTGAATGTATTTCACATTTTTCCGCTGAATGCGCTTTCGTCCTACGCTCATGTTCTAGATATTTATAGAAGATTGAGGAGAAAGTAAATACCTGAAAACGATCTTTGTTGGATAAACTAAAGGACTCAATCAGGTTCCAAGCGAACCCAGGCTCTGAGTCAAAATCACAGAACACCTGGAAGGTTTGATTATTGTCATCGTCAACTGTGTACAATCCAGAGGCGGTGGACCCGGCCGCTTTGTAATCCTGACAACTTCTTTTCTGTTGAATCTCGCAGTGTCTTCCTACAAACGGTACAGGACAGGAACAATTGTACCTAACACTTGTGGGTTGACAGATCTCAGTACAGGTTCCTCTATTAAGACACGGATTGTTCTTGCAGCAGCCATTGGTACACATGAAGTCACCAGCACAAGGAACAATGTTGGTTGGAGCCTAAAAATGTATATGAAAAAAGAATTAGGCGTTTCTGACTGGGTGAAAACGAGTGTATTCTCTTGTAACGCTAGCGCAAAGCTAAAAAGTAGGCTCGCAATGCGTACTTGTGTGGGATTTCAGTTAAGTTAACGTTGATGCGGTTTGGATTAGCTTTATAGTAAATGTAATACATTTTGTCATGTTATCGTGATAAATGTCGAGTAAAGATCCCATAGACTCCCAAGCTGCAGATAAGAAAACGGTTAGGGGGAAAACATGCTTGGACGAGGATTTCGAGGAAATTATGGGTGCTTATCATTTGACAGAATAAACTGGTTGAGATGACTGGGGAATAAAGGTAACAGTTTTTCCAAAATCAGCAAACAAGCCGAACGAGATGGTCCATTTGATGTCAGTTCTATTTGACTTTCAACAGAAATTTCCGGACTTTTTCGCTAAATGGTAAGCACCCTAGCTCTCTTAGGGTGCGGTTACACGGGACTCTTTTATCGTGGTAAGTGACCCTTTTACAACGGGAAACTGCATTTAGTGAGTGGTTCCAATATTTCCCCGCATTAAATTTTCCGTGATAAATATTCATTGATACGTGATTGACAGAGCAGAGAGTCACTGAGGTATACATTTTGCAGGGCTTGTCGCACATTACAACTGAGTGCATTTGAGCATCTGAGGTTCTCAGCCATTAATTCCTTTGCACAATTAACTGTCAAAATGTGTTTGAGTCAACGCGCTTCAGGCATGAACACACTACCTCATGTAATATTTGTGTTCGACAAAAAGGTAAATGCCGTCTACTTTTACTCATCAGCGGGAAATATTGGAATCAGTCGCTAGTAGCAGAGTAGAATAGAAGTTGTATTCCGTTGACGCAAGTTGCATTCTGGACTGTGAACGGAGGTAGTCGCGCATGCAACCCCTCCGCACATAGTAAAAGTCAAAATTAATTTCGATGAAGCTTAGAAACTCACGTGGAAAGAAATAAAATGTTTGTAAGGTTTAATAAAAATAATAACCTCAAATCACATTTCCGAAATGTCTGTACAGAATATACCAATTTAATAAAAGTAGATGTAAATGAAATGTCACCACTGAATATTTAACACGCACAACATTCGAGAAACAATTGACAGCTTTGCATTGGCGCCGTTACGCAATGTACCAACAAATCGTAGTTAAAAGAGGGAACTTTAGATTGCTAATCGTAAATCCACAGGATAATACTGGACTTTGTCATTATGTTATATCTGTCCGTAAAACTTCGGTTATTGGTAGCACTAAACGGGAGTTGAAAGTAATGAAATCATTCAAGTATAAAAATTTTCTTCTGCGTAGCGCGACACTATCTACTAGAATTTTATTTTCTGCGCAAATTTTGTCGGGATTTCCATAGGATCGACGCAATTTTTGACATACTTTCAAAATGCAAATGCAGACAGTTCCGTCTGAGAACTGGAATTTGGTACGATTATTCCTTACTCATCCAACAATTTCTTGCATATACAAACAGAAAGCGAATTTTTACGCACTAAGATAAATACCCGACAGCGCGTGCTCAAAATTAGATCTTAAGACCTTATTACTCCCTTCGAGCCTCCAAAACTAAAAACTACACCAAATCCTGAAATATCTAAACTAAATTGACAGTTTTGATCTGTGAAAGCTCACAAGAAATGAAAGTTGAAGTGTTGTAAAATTTACCAAGTAACATATTTTAAAAACTTAACCGGTTTTGTGTGAGAATAACAAAAACTCAAATTTATTTCGAAGTGTTTACATGTACTTCACTCAACTTTCTTCGTTTATTACTGTAGTAGTTAGCAATTGCCTACAGAGCCTTGCTGCGAAATGCAACATTGGTGACAATTATTATAAAATAAAATGAAAGCTAATCTTAAGTGTGGGGAAATCCCACACAAACATGATCCTCGCAGGTAAGAAGCTAATGTACCTGCCAAGATTAATTCTTTGATTGAATTTTTCTTTCGTCTCCGAAATTCTATGAAATTCTTTGAAGTTTTTACCTTCGATTCTTTTTTCATATTCCATAATTCGAAACATCCATCTCCTTTCATAGGAATTTAAAAGAGAAAATCTCTCTACCTTCCAAATACCCAAATAAAAGAGGAACTTGAAATGCAGACTTAATATAAATAAAATATATATTTCTTTCAGTATAGTATTTAGCTTTTGGTTTTTCCAAATAATCAATTGAAGTTTGCCAAAGTTTCAGTTGGCAGCAGTTACGTTAAGTTTAAAAGAAAACAATTTATCTTAAACACTTTTGGGAAAGACATAACCATCCATTGGAAAGAAAATTTTGACGGGGTTAGGAAGTATCAGTTACATTGAAATATAATGCCTCTAATTGAAATGATTATTTGTATTATCTTTCGTCAGGTTGAAGCTTCCTCGATATCAAATCAAAATAGAAAGAATGGACTGTTATGCAAAGGTGAAGACTGAAAACCATTCGCGGTCAAAATACGCTATTACATGATAACGTTTGGTACCTTAGTGGAGTATTCTCTCCGCAGTACGTAGTAAACACTTCCGTGGATGTTTTTCAGAGAGTCCTTGTTTGTAAAATGGCTGCCTTCGTTCAACTCGCAGTATTTGATGTCGTTCTTGACCTTGTAGTTTATCGACAGACATCGACAGTCGTTGATACACCACAGATAGCACTGGTGTGAGTTTGAAGTCACAGAATTGTGAAAGACATGGCCGACAAGCTCTTTGTCATGATAGGCGTCTTGTTGCTCATTAAAAGAGATCTTTTCACATTTTCCAGTGGAGCAGAAGCCCTTTACTTGAAAAGCTGAAATAAGCATACAAAAAAACTTTGCAACCATCATTCTTATCGTTTTCACACCCCACCTGGGGAACGATGTTTCTCATAATGTCATTCTTGAGCAGATTACTAAGTTAAGATATCGCCCATCCCTATGTGTCAATCAACGTGCAAGATACCAATCAACTGAGTCACAAAAAATAACTTCACAATATAAATATTCAAGGCTCGGAAAAGTAACAAAAACAAGTGATACAATGGATGTGTCCAATTATGGCGCACAAGTAACATGATGCAGATGTTCTACTTAAGACCCCCTCCCACGCATAAAGATATAACTTAAAATCTCTTCCTTTCGAAACTGTGAACATGTTGTTTAAAACACATGTGAGATAACCTGGGCTAGTTTTTCTGGGTTTTTGCAGGTAGTGTCTAAGCTTAAATCTCACACATTGTGGTGATCTAGCAACTCGAGCGAAATATGTTTCTAATATGTCCTTCTTGAGCTGATTATTAATTCAAGATATCGCCTTCTCTATTTGGTAGTCAAATGCAGACGGACAAAACCGGATGTATTTTTTAATTATTGATATCTTGACAATAGCCTTTACCGTGCAAGTTCCGTATCAGTTAATTTGTGAGCAGAATTAAGCCGTTTCAATAATAAATCTTCCATTAGAGCTAGCAAGCTACTCTTAAAATCTCCAAGCAGGAATATGCAGAACAATATCACATATTCTGAAATCATTTCCTTATTTATATCAGTGATTAAAAACTGTTTCAATGCAGGACAACTATTAAAGATTTAAAAATGGTTGGCATTTACAAATCTCAAGAGCCTTGTGTTTTTCCAACTTTGTGGTCAAATTATCTTACATTGTGTTAAAGATATTCTTGAGGCAAAGCTGATCGATTTTTTCTGAAAAGTAACGTCAGCTTATTTCATCTCAGTAAGGTGCATAATTACAAAAAAGCCTGAATGTTTCGACGATTCACGCCAATTACAGCTGCCAATTGACAAAAAATGTTAATTTCGATCAGCGATACAGAAAAAATATTCAACGACTTATGGTTTTTAGACAACCAATCATCCATCATTACTTTGTTTTGTGGCAAATCACTTGTTTTCTCGTGAATAGAGAAATATAAGATTCGACCGGTTCCTAGATTTGAAATTTTCGCCTAGTGTTCGTGAAAAATATATAAAATGTTTCTTGTATTAAAGGTAAAGAACCAAGAAATAATTGATGATGTTTACAGTTAGAATTCTGTTCGACAATGTCTCCTCACTGTGGCAGTCTCCTCTCCATGGTAATAGGCCTATTGTAAATAATAATCGCAATGGATTATATCATCAGTTTGTCAAACTAAGTATAAAAAAATACAAAAAGTGTCTGGAGGCTGCAAACTTTTTATTTTTATCTTATTTTAGCACTAAGCATACAAAAAGCTCTCAGTTTCACTCAAATACCAGTAGCTTTTTTACACATTTCGCCATATATAACTCGATTTTCCGGCTCGGAAACTTCGTTAAACTCACCTTTGACAGTAGTTGTTTAAATTCAGAGCACGTTCTATTTGGGTGTAGAAACAACCCTTAGTATGCTTACTTGCCATATCCCGAAAAAATCTTCCGATTTTGCAGACAAATTGGGGACGTGGGACTCGGAGACGCGAGACTCGGAGACGTGGAACTCGGGGACGTGGGAGTAGAGACGTGGGACTCGGGGACGTGGGACTCGGGGACATGGACACGGGGACTCAGGGACGTGATAAACAAACAACACCTGATATTTGCGCTGAATTTGTAGAGTACATTTTTCGGTGGTCTCGAGACAGCTATCATATGCTGGAGAGCTTATTAGTAGAATAAGTCCATGAGTCCCACGTCCCCGAGTCCCACGTCCCCGAGTCCCACGTCCCCGAGTCTCAGTTCCCACGTCTCAGTCCTACTTTTAGTCACAGCCAATAATTGAAAACCACAAAGGTACATGAAGCGCCTGCTCTCTGTGATGAAGATATTCGTGAAACGATGCACAGAGGCGTAAGGAGTATTCTCTTTACGGCCAACACTGTCTATTCTGGTTTGCCTGTAGCGTAGAAGTTCAGCCGCAGGTGACACAGACATTGTCGCACCGATAAGAAACGTTCCTGAGCCATGAAAATCTCGTCGTGTAACGATTCTATCCGCAAAGAGGAGCCAATTTAGTTCTCTTCTGTCTCGGCAGCGATGACAATTGATTGTTCCACAAAATTGAAGAAAGTGAACAAATGCTGACAAATTCTAAGAAGACTTTGAGAGAATCACAATTTATAGCGAAGAAAAACAATGATTAGTTATCTAGGTCTTTCTGGGAAAATTGTAACTCGAGCCAACCGATCTCAGGAATTACTCAAACTGTCATGGGAACCTGTGGGCTTACATTTTTCGGTTGGAATCGGATTCCAGAAAACGCATGGTATGATAACAGTGGAAAGGAATATGAATACCAGTTATTTGATATATTTTCAGAGAGAAAGGTTACATTTAAAAACTTAGCATGGCAGCCGACACGAAAATGAGTAACTTAATAAGCTCTACATTCCCCTCGACATATACCCAGACCGAGGCAGCTCCCTATCTCCGCCTCTCCCCCCTACCACTCACTCGGAAAACACTTAAAGGCTCCATAATTCCGTAAGCTTTAAACCCACTCTTTCCAGATATTTATCCATGCAAACCAGCCCCGCTTATTATGACTCATCACATAATTTGTTGTAGGTCTAAGAGGTCAACACTTAGTGTGTTGTCACGCAATTTTAATGTTGGATGATATCAAGAAATAAAATTTGACCAATCCACTAAATTCTCCTAAACAAGGGCTGAAATATAACTAATTGTTTCCGGATGTTATTGACAAATTCAGTTCTGAAAACTCACGAGCGTTTTCTCAGGTTGTGTTTCCAAATAACTTAAGTTTTCAATGTAACACAGTAGGAATGGTATGATAACCATGATGGTATTAATGATGGTTAATTAATTAATGGTATGATAATACAGTTTAATTATCATCTGCATAAGATTTTATTTGTCTGACGTTGACCCGGTCAGTCAACAAGCTGCCACAAAGTAGCAGTTGTAGACAGACGCCGCTATGGAAAGGAGAAGCATCAATCGAGACTGACATTTGGCGTTGGACATGTGTTTCTTCGCAGTATCGTTGAATGCTTGAATTTTGATCTTTGCTAGTGAAAATTTGACAAAACCATTACCAGCTTGGTAATTCTGGAGAGTAATCCCATCAAGTTCAGTGATGGTTAGCACGTAAAATGTGTTGAGGTCTGTCTGACCAGAGAAAAAGGACTGTTTGTGAACAGCAGGCAGAGTCTTCTAATTCACCCACTCGTGTTGACAGTAAAACAAGAAAAACAGCAAGCAAGCACACAGGAATAGCCTTTGATGCACCAGCTCCAACGAAGTATTAGATACAAAACAATACTAGCCCTCAATTAAAAAAACAAATTTAAAGCTAGTTTAGGCGGGTAGTAAGACTGTTAAACTTACAGAGTAAATCTAGTAGTGACTATTGCATCATTGATAGGACCTATAACTAAGCAGATAATATATATACATTAAATTATTGATGTTAACGGCTATGGAAGGGTGGTTAAATAAAGTTACTTAATGCGTTCATTTGTTTTGTAAGTCAACGTATTCGTCCTCTTCCATTAAAACTTGAAAAAGTTGATTTGAAATATTTTTCATAAACACATACATTACTTTGATACTTTTCGTAGTTCTTGAGGGATGTTGTGTCATATTTTGGTCCCTAGTCTTGAAAACCACTTAATTTGTTAGTTAGATCTTGAATGTTTTACATAATAATTGCCGGCTGAAGAAAATCTTGTATGATAATTATATATCTTATTTCTAAAGATTAGAAATATTGCATTGGGTTAATTTATAACAATTACCATACATTATAGCTGAACTGGATTTAGAATAAAGCATATTTAATTTACTGGAATAGTATTTATAAAACCACAGGATTGGGGAAAGTCCTTTTCTATTGCTGGGTGGGGGGAGGGTGGGTGGGAGGATTTTGGTTGTGTCACGATAAAATTTACCTGATCCCACAAAAGAGAAATCTAATCACCCGCCTCATTGGTAGTTAATTGGCTGTAGTCTTCCCTTTATACTCTGTTGGTAACGACTGATCTCCCCTGAGACTACATTTAATCAACGGATCTAATCTTTCCTACGTGAGTTCCACATTAAAAACTAGCAAAATGACACCAGCTTTGTCAGATGGTCCATTAGTTTCACGCTCAGTCTCATTAATTCTCAAATACCAACTGATAAATCATTATTGGATCCACAAAACTGTGTTGTTTAGTCAGCGTACTATTTGCCTCCGATCCACAACTGAGTCGTATCACCCGAGTTTGAGGTACAACGGAATTTGAGATTTGTAGAATAGTAGTGTCCAAAGTTGTCCTCACTAGATATGGCCGTCTTGCTTGCGTCGAAATCGCAGGACCGATGGGTAAAATAAGAGTCGACATGCAGAGGATAACTGCCTTTTTTATACCCTGTAAATGCAGTGCAATTCACACACTCATTTCCTCGGATGTTGACATATTCGTAAGGTCGACAGGTGTCTTTTTTCAAGGGTACGTCTCTAATGATGTCAAAGTCTTCAAGCGAGGCTCTCAGGTAATCTGTGTATACGGTGCCATCTGTGTTGTATCGGCAAGTAGCTCTCCAGTGAGTCGAGTGATCTCTGAGCCAAAGGAGGTAGGGTCGTTTGATGAGGTAAGCCTGCCAATTTGGGGCATCACCGCTGATGGCTTGGTAGTCATCGTAAAACACGATGTTCTTCTGTAGAGGAAGTAGAATTGATGAGGAAGTTATGATCATCGTCAAAACTGTCGCTTATGAAACAAAACTCATGGAAGCAACATGATATTGAATGTATTTCACATTTTTCCGCTGAATGCGCTCATACGCTCATAGATATTTATAGAAGATTTAAAGAGAAAGCAAATACCTGAAAACGATCTTTGTTGGATAAACTAAACGACTCAAT